CTCGGATTTATCTCAGGACTGCCTTGCCATATCGGATATAATTTGGATACATCAACAAAGCTGAAATGGTAAATAAGCCACCGTAACGATTACAAAAGCTGACGTTTCGAGCGTTAGCCCTTCGTCGTTAGCCCTTCGTCTTTCGCTCTGACGAAGGGCTAACGCTCGAAACGTCAGCTTTTGTAATCGTTACGGTGGCTTATTTACCATTTCAGCTTTGTTGATGTATCCAAATTATATCCGATATGGCAAGGCAGTCCTGAGATAAATCCGAGGGTTCTGATTGGTTCTTACTCGGTCGGGATTTTGCCATACGGACCGTACCGTTTCCACGGAAACGGTCGTAAACCGTACTGCCACAGTACAGCTCGAACAGGCCAGGTTAGTAAGGAGATATTCTCTTAGTTGTTTTCCACGTCCTGAACCCAAACCACAAGAGCTACATTCCTTACCAGACGGGGCTTTTTCTCTTCCTCAATATAATATTCTGAAAATATTATCTGAGGGTAGCTGGATGAAAAGCCTCCTGTACTTTTCCATGTGGTTTTCAATTTGGGTTCCGATCCCTTTAAAAAATGCACCACATAGGCACGGACTTTATTTTCTGGAGAGAAGCCACGTACTTTTACGGAAGCACGTGTCTGGATCAGTTTCAAGTTCGTGCAGAAGCCGACTTCTACTCGATTTTGATGATCTGCAAGGTAATGTGCTAACTCCTAGTGCTTGACTGAAAGAAGCTCAGTCATCCTTCTGGAAATTTCACGAGGTGTTTTGTACCGGAACCACAGAGAAATAATCTTAGTTGAAATTCTCATCCGCTGTTGGACGCGATCGGACTTGCGTGTGCACAAGTGATATCCTGGCAAGCTCGCTGTCAACGCTGACAGTCTTGTAGTGTTGTTGATGGTCGAAAACGAAAAAAAAGCCATCAAAGGGTCATTGCAACTTCCAGTTTTCCAATGCAGGGGTCTGAATAGTCTTTACGTGAAAGAAATATCGTGACAAAAAAAAGTCAACCTTGCTTCGGCTGATTTATCCGGGTTAAACGCTTTTTAGTTACGTTGATTTACAATAATACAACATTTACGATAGAAGGTCGAATGTTTTAACTCTTAAACCCCCAAGAACTATTTTTTTTTATTCTTCCCTCTAGTTGCTACACATTTTCTTTTAAATTAGTTATGAGAATTTGTTGTTGGATCAAAATGACAACTTTTATCTGAAAAATTTGAGTATTCTCATTTTCTGTTTACTAAATAATGTATGGATATTAAAGGGAGAAGTTACATGTTAATACATGTTACTTCTGGGTGTTAAGGGTTCTAAATCAAGGCCATATTGCGGGGGATTTTCCACCCCATGATCCACAGCTTAAAACAGCGAGTTTGAGGCGCTGGATGTCTAGTATACCCTCGTGACACCATAGTGTTTGCATGATTTCGAATAATAGCTTGATTATTTCCGGTAGAGTGATATCCTCGCTGTTGATTAACCGCTGATTTGAGGGTCACAGTTCATAAACAAACTTCGTCGGGGTGACAGAAGACCTCACAACTTGTGCAGCCTTTTGTTGGGAAAATATACGAACAAAGTGTAAAGGTAAGTGATTGGAAGTTGTTCTAGCTCAGCAAACAATTTGAAAAACTATCGGGCCGGTTTTTTTACCCGAATCTTTCTCTCTGACCTTGGCATACTGGTAAATTACAGAGGGAAAATGACAACACTTCAATATCAATATACTAAACAAGGATTCCATGAGAAATCGTTCGAGTTCAGGTTACGTTTAGCTCAATGGGTCAATTGTATAGCTGGATGAGAGACCGTAGATTCCACTAGAAATGAAAGGAAATACAAGCTGAGAGTTGAAGTGAACATTCTTACCTTGGCAATCGTTGGTTTGGAAAGCCCAGGCGGCTTTGAGTTAAGAGATGAATAGGACTATTGATATCCTGACAGCCAATGCTCACATTTGCATATGTGTAAGAGGATTGATCTATTACGAAATTCAACAGACTCAATCATTATATTATCCCTCTGCGTTTTTTCGCGATTCCAGAAATAAAATAAACAGCGCTGTATAATCTTTTATTCCGGATATCTGCAGCATAGATTGTTATAAAAGCTTTCTTTCATTTACATTTATCGGCCAAGGCCTATAAGTTATTTGAGAGTTTTTCTGAAACTTGGTGGTTTTCAGCTTTGGCGGCTTACGAACGATTAAATTAAGGAACAACGGAACAGTCAAATGAGATAACTAAAAAATTAATATTTCTTTTCAAACGCCTAATCAGCAAAATCCACCGACACAAAAAAAATATTCAAATTCAAATTTTCTTTCTAGACTAACATTTAGGATTCGCGGAATTTTGTACGATGCTAAGATTGATGAGGTTATTTTAAAAGGATTGGAGGAAAAATAGTTTAAGCGAGTCACTGTATCAAAACGAGTTTGTTTAGTTTGACTCATGATTCCGTGACATCCCGAAATGAAAATTACCACTAAAATTAATGCGCATAAGCGTGTCTCAGTTCTTGTACAAAAATTCAAAACGTAAAGAAAAGAAATGATACAAGATCTGGCGATTTTGTGCTGGAGTTACAAAAATGGTTACGAACTGTAAAAGATAGGAGAAAACCTGGTATTACGATTTGTAAACGGATGGTCCAAGGTAACGTTCTAGATCAAGAAAGCGACCAAAAAGATAATGGAATATCATTCCAATTAAATAGGAGCTTGCCAAGTGATAGCAAATTGATACTTATGACAGGTTTTATGCAGGTTAAAACGCGAACGAGTCAAATAATTGTGATATTCAGAATTAAAATGAAGCATCGAGGAAACACGAGCAGGTAAAAGGTTATTAAAATGTGAGAATACAAAACAGGCAACATGGAATTTATAAAAAGAGTAAAGTGAAAAAATATTATGCTTAGAAAAAAGGGGTTTAGAGGATAAAGCAATCGTAGAATTCAAATCTATTTTAAGTTGCATAACCAACGACAAGATTAACCCAAAGGCTAATCAAAACGAACAAAAAACACGCAGGACCAAGAAAAACCCAAGGTGAAAGCGTGCAAACTGAAAACGTGGAAAGTGCCTGAAGCGTGGAAAAACACGAGACATCACGTCGTTAATTGTCGGGTTTAGTTAGCGTGCATCTGATTTGCTCAGAGGATGACACAAGATTCTAAACCGATCATCGAGCGGTGAAAGGAAAAATTAATGCTTCCATAGAAAATCTCGAGATTCAATTTAAAAATGCGCCATATGGACATCAAAATCGTGTGGGTAAGAAGTGCGGTCAATTCTTCTGTCATTGCTTTAAATGAATAACTGAAAGACGACTAAGCTGACACGACTATCCAAATCGATCCAAAGATTGGTCATCATTCCTCCAAACTTGTTTCGAACTGGTAAATCTTGGCGCACTCTTGGTGTGATAACCTGTTCCCTTCACGATTAACGGCGAACAAAGAGCACAAAAAAGTCAAGACAATAGATCTTAAATTACTACTGGTGACAAAACAAAGAGCCGATTCACTGGTTCTTGCACCGAGGAATGCCTTAAATTTGTCTTGGCGACTGCTGTACGGTTGTCTGTAAATGGATTTAAAGCAGTGTTTTTTTTTCAAATTATTAGTTATGTTGTTTTTTTTTTTAATTATTAGTTATGACCTTTACATAGTTTTCACTATCGGCAATATTTTATGTAAATAGACGGCATACCGGCATTTCGGTTGTTCACGACTTAGAAAATTTGGGGGTGTGTGGGAGCTAGATCCAAGTTACGTTCATAGTTTCAAGTTCGGATTCTGAAAACACCGTAAAGTAAAAAGTAGCCTAGTGGATAGCACTCCTGAATGATTCTTCTATCGTATTTGGGTCGTATCGGTAAATTTGCGCCGGCAGCGATTAGAAACATGTGAAACGCCACAAAATTTAATTTAAAACTACAATCAGTTGGTTGGTAAGGTGAGACACGAGCATTCTCACTCTGAATACGTAGTAAGGTTGCATTGTGCATTCTTAATGTGCATAATTTTTATACATGAAATGAACAAAGCGGAGATTTTATTATGGCCAGCTATGTAAATATGTTTTGTTAAAAAACAAGCACGGTGAAACCCCACTGACAGTGTAAATTAAAGAACTGAAGTTTAAGAAACTTGTGTTTGAGCACTTACATCTGCAGCCTTCGGTTGAGTATTTCACTTTAATTTTTATGGTGTATAAAGATGGTATTCACCAATTAGCTCGCTAAGTAAAAGAAAGCTAAGGGCTTCCTTTCCTCGAGTGATCCAACAGAGCTGAAGTCATTTTAGGTCTATTGAATTGAAGCATCCATTACAACGATTCCTTCGTGACCGTTTCTGGGATTAAATTTCAAGAAATTTTATGCGATTTAACGATATAATCTTTGAGTTGTTCATGTAATACGTAGATTTGTGTTTGAGTTTTGCTCCATTTCAACGTCGTTTTTCTTTTAACACAAAGACTGCGCGCTTCAAACCTATTCCGTCCTATTCCAGGCGTTTCTACAAGAAACTTCTAAAACACGTGACTTTAGATCTTTCTCTAGCTTCGCCAAAACGTTTTTGAAGATGCCTTAACCTTCATACAAATACATTAGTATGTGTAGTCTCCACACTGTTCTCTATACATTTCCAAAGGCACTTACAAGGAGAATTTGTTTAATAATCAAGAACTTTTTGACCTCGCGATCATTTCCTTTATTCTCGTTACCTAAATGTTTGATTCTGCTGTAATACCAAACGGACAAGTTAGATGCAAATCACTCGCAAAAGGATTAACTTGTTTTGTATCTTCTTAGTCGTGGCCATTTTGTAGATCATTTTTTTCATAATCTTTGTTCGTTCTGTTTCAGGTATTTGCGTGGACAGAGTTTGTTTCTCGGCCAACTCCATCATGAAGTCGCCCACTGAAGTTAAAACAGACGACGCCCACTCTGTTATAAACGGGGGCACGATGCACAAATACACTGAAGAACCCACTACACAGAATGGCCATGTGTCTGCCATACAGAATGGTCACGTATCTGACTTACAGAATGGTCACATGGCAGAAACGCAGAATGGTCACATGGCAGAAACGCAGAATAGTCACATGGCAGAAACGCAGAATGGTCACATGGCAGAAACGCAGAATGGTCACTTGGTAGAAACACAGAATGGTCACGTGGGCATATCAGCCTCCGATTCACAGCGCGACGCTGCTCAAGGGCTCTTTAAAAGGAGAAGAGCAGGAAATCAAGTCCAGGATGGCGAGAGGATTAGAAGCAAAAATGACATCATTAATTTGTCCCCGGGTCTGCCAGGTTTTAGCGTCAATATCATAGGGTTCCTAATGTTGCTATGGCCACCAGTCTGTGTTTCCTTCTTCTGGCTCGCCTGTCACGCATATCAGTGCTCTCTTGGAGATTTGGGTGGACAAGTACTTCACGAGATATCCGCCAGGACCATCATCGCCTTCGCGAGACGGAACATCCCGAAAGTTAGCAGAGGTCCGATCATGTTGTACAGCGCGTGGATGCTTTTGCAAGTGTTTTTGTTCTTGGTACTTCCTGGCCGCATCAGACGCGGAACAGCTACGCCAGCTGGAAACGTATTGACCTATAACTGTAATGGCATGAGTGCATGGGTTGTGTCCCACGTTCTGTTCTTTATCTTGGTCAAAATGAGCCTGATAGAAGCTACGATTATCAGCGACAACTGGGGAGCCCTCATGGTCATTTCCAATGTGTTTGGCTTCAGCTTGACTCTCTTATCCTACGTCAAGGCGTATTATTTTCCGAGTCATTCAGAGGATCGGTGTTTCAGTGGATCGTGTTTCTACGACTTCTTTATGGGTATTGAACACAACCCCAGAATTGGCCCTTTTGATTTCAAGTTGTTTTTCAACGGAAGGCCTGGAATTGTGGCCTGGACTTTGATCAATTTGTCATTCGCTGCCAAGCAGTACAAAGACTTTGGTTACGTTAGTAACGCAATGATTCTCGTCAACCTACTGCACGCTACTTATGTTGTAGACTTCTTCCTCAACGAATCCTGGTATCTGCGCACTATTGACATCGCCCACGACCACTTTGGCTTCTACCTGGCCTGGGGAGACACGGTCTGGCTTCCCTTTATGTATACTCTACAAAGTGTATACCTGGCCCGAAATCCAGTGAACCTGCCCTGGTGGGGATGTGCAGCCACACTCTTAATGGGTTTGACCGGTTACTTGATCTTCCGATCTGTCAACCACCAAAAAGATTACTTTCGGGTTGAGATGAAAACGAATGGTAAATGTGCGATCTGGGGCAAACCAGCTCGGTACATTTTAGCACCTTATGCCACCACCGACTCCAAGCCACAGGTCTCCTACATTCTGGCTTCTGGTTGGTGGGGACTCTCCCGCCATTTCAATTACGTCGGTGACTTGCTGAACGCGTTGTCGTACTGCCTAGCGTGTGGGTTTGGTCACGTGTTGCCGTATTTCTATTTCGTTTTCATGCTGTGCCTTCTGGTTCACCGTTCTTACCGAGATGACGTAAGATGCAGGCAGAAGTATGGCGTGTACTGGGAGAAGTATTGTAAAATGGTGCCGTACAGGATCATTCCGGACGTATTTTGAAAAAAGTTGAAAATAGATTACGTTTTGATGCATTAAAACAAATTTTCCATCATTGGACAGAAAAATATTGTCATTATTGGACAGCAAGAGGGCCTAAGGTCATGTACTCTTGTGGTCAGCAGATATGGACATCGCTTCGTGAACATGCCTGTTATTTATTTATCTTGGTGTTGGAATTTAAAGGGAAATATGTATCGCAAGTTCATTATGCTCGGTGAGATAATACTCGTATTACACTAGCTGTCAACTGTTAGCAGACAGAATTTCTTCGATCTTGAATTCGGCATGGATTACACGTTCTCTTTCTGGGACAGTTACTTTTTTCATTGATTCGAGAGTGATTTACCACGCTTTCCTTAAGATAGAAGTAATGTATTTACACGAAGGTGATGAGGATGATTTTTGTACAGGAAATTCCCGCAAATTATCTGTCTTGCATTTTCGATATTTACTTGCATTCTCAAAGTTTACTCATGATTCTAGATAAACTTATGCTGAATTCACTATCAGATAAGAGTTTATTCAAGAATTTCAGTGCAATTCAACAGCTCTTTAGGTGGCTGCGTGAGCAAATAATAATTGTTTTCTATATTTTCGCATCCATTTTTATTCATAATTAGTGCATTCGTTCCAAGAGCACGTAGCTTGTAGCTCAGTAATTTACGGAGAAGGACGTTCCTTGGACACGCCCCTTCTCTAGACTTGTGTGTAGTTCAACAGAGTGGCTACTATCATCTGTAGACACTATGTAGAGCAGTTTTCAATAGAGACGTTACGATTGGTCCAGAACCGGCTTCTAAGATTTTTCAGTTTGTGGTATGAACAAAGTAAGTTTCTGAATCGAAATCCCACTAACGTAGTTCAGCATGGCACCTGCTGTGGTTCTCGAAAAGATTGTTGTGTTCTCGAAAACTGTGTATTAAGAAAGATAGCTTAGGCAAATGAGTTATGTTTTTCCCCTGTGGCTAATTGATGTAATCATAACTGACAGAGAGCAGCAGAATGGAGGGCCTTTTCAAGGTGATGAGCTCTCCTGACCGTAAACTTCAACGCCTGTTAACATGAATGCAGAGAAGGTCACGAAAACGTTGGCAGAGCTGTACTGGACACAAGGGTTTGCGCACGTGTAATGCCAATCACGGTATAACGATTACTTCAACAAAAGAACTGTAATCAAAGGATTTAAGAACGGCTTTGTTTCACATTCCACGGTTAACTTGAATATCTTCTGTAGAATAAACAGAGTAAGTTTTAAAAAAGTGAAAAAGGAAACACTACAACCGATCCATAAATTGCAAGAAAAAGAGAGCTTCTCTACCAAAATCTGCCCCTTTAACGTAAGAGAAGTATTCTGCAACTCTTCAGATAAACACTCTCGGTAGTCTTCAATTATAGACTTAATAAAAAATTCCTAAAATGCAAAACGCGCAATGGGTTGGCTCATTATAAAGATATCTAATGAAGATAACAATTGACTGCGAACCCCGGCGGTCTACTGTCTTAGGATACTCGATAACAAGACTTAACAGGCCAACTTTGGTTACCATTCACTTTCTCAGAGTTTTGACGACGGGTCAGCACCTTCTAACAATAGCATAATGAAAACCTTTCTGTTTTTAAGAGAAATTAAATACGTTGTTCTACAAACACCTGAGCAGTGAAGCGGAGAGCGCTTGTCAGTTGTCAAACACCACAGAAAACGTGTCACTTGCAAGTCTTGTGGCGGTCAGTGTCAGATTGTTCCCACTTGTGGCGTGCTATGCTATTTTCGGTTTCCATCAACATACCAGGCTGTTAAATAGCCCTAAGCGTTGAATACTGAAACGTAAGAAGTAAAAGAATGCCTCAAGCAAAGCTGACAAACAAGAACAAAATACGGAACCATTGCTTTTAAAGGATGTTTCCTAAAAATACAAGGTATTGTATCTTTGTTGTGGAATCTTTCGAGCTCATTATGTTTTAGAACTCTATGTTGCTGTCACTGTGGTCTCATCAGAGTGTGAATTTGTTTTTAACTGAGTCACACCGCAGCTAGATTTGGAAGGGTTTCCTTTCGTGTGATTTTTTATTCATGAAGCTTAATTTGACCACACCACTTCGACTTGTAGCACCGCAAAGAGTCTCCTTTACGAGGTGCAGCTACCATCGTCTCATTGGAAGCAGTCACCATCTCAGTGAAGTGAGCCGCTCGCTGCAATAGTGTGATTGACAATCCGATCATCATCACAGGTAAGTTATGGCTGATCGAGGTTTCAAGGCAGTTTAGATTCTTGTCGAATTTTAGGGATATATTAAACCATCGACTGTAACTGTGAGCAAATCCGACGCGGTATTGGTCTCTAGGAAGTACTAGTAAGTGACTTTGGCTCATAATCCATTGTCTGACACAAACTTCGCCGTCACGATGTCTGCTGGATTTTAAAGGAAAAGTGAATCGCAATTTATCGTTTTGTGTCAGTTGTGTGAAATCAATGAAAAGCTTATCCGAGCCTTCACGGATCGGCTATCGAGCTTGTTTACATCGGAGTCATATCCTTCTTAAGCTTCCGTTCTCGCGGTCACTTGAATAACAGTCAAATCATAATCATGTGTTGATATTCTGTGGAAGAGGTTCTTCGGAGCCATAACCAAGTTAAGCGATACGCTGGAGTGGAGCGGAATGCGTCGTTAAATTAGGTAGGCATTACAATGTAGACTGCGAAGCAAAAAGATCATTACACTTAACCACCGCTGATTCGAAGCTAACCGATATTGGCGTTGTTTTGATTCACTAATCAACTTATTGATGCATTGTTGGATAAGAAGGAACCCGGTTGAACAGTTTTATAAAGATTATCTTGTTTATCTTGGCATCGATTGAATTATATATGAATTTCTATCCGGCGCGATACGACTTCAAGCTAACATCTTTGACGACAAACACCAGTATAATTTACAGATCAATGTCGCGAAAATAAACTTTAGAGTTTACATTGTTTCAGAGGCTGTTTACACAGTTCAAAGCTCTCTTTGTCGTGCTTCAATTTAAAGAATCTCTCCACATTTTACGTGACATCTTGGATCTCTAAGAAGACATTGAAACCAACGGCCTATGTCAAGTGCTGCCGTGTCAATTCTACTGGAGACGTATGCCCGCCATAAAACAGCTAGAGGTTTCGCACCAAATAGTCGCACATTGCAAATAAAATCGAACCAGAAAAAAAAAATCAGACATAACTATTCTTTGCACTGGGTAGGTTTTTTAACTATTTCCCTTCTTTGCTCTATCTAAACGAGATTTGATAACAAGTAATAAAGATCGAAAGAACGTCATTCTATTAAAAACAGCCCTGAGGGCAGTAAATACGAAATGATCGACGGAAAATTTGAAAGCGACCCCGTTTAAACGTAAAGGAATAATAAAAGTGAACAGCAGTTGATATTAGCTTTTTTTTAGCCCCCAGCTGTGTTTAAAGAAGCGCGTTCTCTCAAAATCCAAATAAAGTATCACCTCCGCAGAACAATCAAGCTTTCTTACAATATTTTCTGTCCGTTTCAATTAAATTTACAAAATGATAAAATAACCAAACGGGATCAGTAAGAAGCCACTGAATTGTGTGGTCTGTCAATCAAACAAAGCCAGCGGCGCGTTTTGTTTTCTTGATGAAATAATAATAATGGAAAAAAGTCAAGAAGATCGATTTTAGATTATTCATGAGTGGAACGTGTCGCTATAATTATTTTCCTTTGGCTAATTGCTGCGAAACAAAAAAGCTTGGATCTATTTGTAGCGCCTGATAGCAATTGTCTCCCAGGACACCACTCCTCGCCAGGCTTGTTTCATTGCATTGTTTTAAGCACTTGGCTTACAAAAACGTGACTTAACCTGAGCGTTTTGCTGTGTGAAAATGCTTTGATAACCTGTTTATGGAAGAAAAGGGGCGTGAGGTATGGCAGATTATGATAATTAGCATCCTCAGGGCTACTGCGGCTACTTTTCTTCGTGACAACCTATTGAGCTCAGTTACCACTGAGACTCTGTGGAATGGTTCAAGTAATTTCGCTGTAATAATTCGCTGCTTGGAGGAAGACATGCCATTCAGTAAAGAAACAACATGATCACAGGTAACAAGTTTTTGTGCTGATAGCGTCCCCCATTATCTCGAGGCTCCTAAAGTACGCTGTCAAAGCCGAATAATTGCGGACACCATTTTATCATGAAAAGAGATTTTGTAATATGAATTGAGGCTATAGGTGGTCTGTATTGTATGCAGGGATTATGGAGCTTCAAGATTTTTGTTCAAGTAGTTATGACTAAGTGGTTTCAGTGATATTAGATATCGTCATTAGTCCAAAAGGTATTTATCATCTACTAAGTTATGGCCGTCTCTCTCTTCGATTGAAAAGCCGTCGGTAGTATGGCTATGAGCAACTTATCAGGACCTTAACTCAACATACCAAGGTTATCGTGTGTAAGCTCTTCCAGTCAGTGAAGCTAAAATAGCCGGCCGTATTGACAAGAAAAACTGACTCCTTACCTTAATCTGACAAATCATAATCTTTCACACTCTTTTCTGCGCGTGAAGATTGCAGTGGGATCCAAAATGAGTGGAAGAACCACAGAAAGAGAACACATCATCTAGTCATTCAAATAGTCTTGAGAGTTTCACAAAGTTTTCTACAAACAATTTTCCTCCTTCGCCTTACCCTTGAGCCTGGGGATGTCTACAAAGAAACATGATCACCATTTATACTTCTGAAGTACATACAGATTCCTAAAGAATTAGAAAGAGTTGATTTAATCTTAATAATCAACAGAGTAAACACGTGTCAGAATGTCTCTAAACAACATGACACCATTTTTCACAGTGACTCGCTAAAAAAAAGAAGACACTTAGTTTAACTTACACAACCACGAAGAGGATCCCGAATTTTAGTCAATGACTGAGTTGATACAAACGTAAATCAAGCTAATGCTGTACCAACCCTACCTCAACGTGCTAAAATTCTCAGAAATAACTCTTTAATGGTAATGTCGTGCTTAAATGTAACGATATGTAAATACTTATCCCTTTCCTAATAAGAAATCGCAAATTGAAATGGTTGCTTGACAACATAGTTCAAATATTTTCTTACCTTTAAAAGCAAACTTTTACCCAACTTCGGCCGTAAAAAGGCTTCTCTACCTCACCATGCAGAGAGCCAAAGTTTCAAACGCTTGAGTCAAATCGTAAACAGGTACTGCGAAGTAGAGAAATGTCGACAGCTGGACAAAAAATGGCGACACAAATGATTTGCAAGTTCATACATCACATATCTATTTGAGTCACAATTGACTGTTTCATTTCTTTTCTTCTGAAGAGCTGCGAGGATCTCTCAAAACGCCTTGTTTCACGTAGTTACGACGTATTTTTTCAGTAATGATGGCTGGTTTTAAGAGAGAAAGAAATTCGTCTTCTCTTGCTTATTTCCATATTGCTGGAAAAGAACTTCAACCTAGCAGAGTTTGCTTAAAGGCATCTTTTTAGCACCATGCCTGAGCAGGCGTTAAGTTGATGTCAGCCATAGATACATTTGCATAAAAAATATTCTATATTGCGCGGCTTTCCGCTAATGATATAACTACAACCACCATTCCAACACTCTTGGAAACCATCCTTAGTAACATTTCCTGACAAACGGTTGGAAGATGTGTACATATCGTTTAGAGCACAGTGAAGTTTGTTGTTTAAACTGACAACTCCAACGGACATTCTGATAACTTCTTTAAACATGAAGGTGAGATGCGATGAATGAAAAAAGATTTTTCGGAATCCATTCTAGTCTGCCGGTTTTCAAGCACTAGAATACTGATATATATATATATTTTTTTTTTTTTGAATAAACACAGCTGGAAATCCAAGGATGTAGTCCCAAGCTAGTAGGTTCCAAAGGAGACAGAACGCTTTTGCTACAATTATCAAGTAATTAGAGTATGCAAATGTTTTTTCATTTCAATGGTTCAGTTAGTAGTTCGCTGTCATTGTCATCATTTCAATGATTCAGTTAGTAGCTCGCTGTCGCTATTTGTATACTCTAATTACTTGATATTTGTAGCAAAAGCGTTGTGTATCCTTTGGATCCTACTAGCTTGTGACTACATCGTTGGATTTCCAGCTGTGTTTATTCAAAAAAAAAAATATTTGTTATTTGCTGGTAGCCTATGAATCATCTTCGGATGATCCGATGTACTTCCTGTTCCTGAATGTTAAAACGCCGGCCCCTAGTGCTCTGCAGAGATCGATAGGCTTTTAAACACAAAAGAGGCTTATTGGAGTTCTCAGTTGTTCTCTTTGGCACCCCATGGTTTGAATGAAAGAAAGGAATTTCATTCGAAAAATAGAATTTGCTATAATTAATTTTCCATCTTATTTTAGGCGCTACTAATTGATCGTTCAAAGGCCCTTTTCTTGGATTTTGTCGGCCCTTTAGGTGTGGATTGGACTCAGAGGCCCTGCCAAGGGATCTTATCATGATTAGTATCATTTAAGGGCCCCTCCAGGGATTTTGTTGCTAATTTGCCCTTTCGGGCTCCAAAGGCCTTGTTTTGGGATTTTGTTACGGTTTACAGTTGTAGTAAAAAGTGGGCCTTCCCTTTTTTAATGCTCGCCGCATTGCTTCTTTGCAATTG